ACACACAGACCATACAGAGACATAGTGACGACTTAAAGCTGCACCCGGAATGACACGCAGCATTATAAATAGCCTAATCTATATGGTAATAGTGTTGTATTCTACAAGCAGAGAATGGGGATAAGATAACATTGTGACTTCGGGGTTTGTACTGCCTCCTATGGTAATTGTTATCAAAGGTTATTTGGGATGACATCGGCAGCTCCTTGTGATTGGCCGGGCCTGGTTATTTACGATATGAATTATGATAACCATGATGTCTCTGTGCTCCTCCACCTCGCCGGCCGCCAGATACAATAAATTGCTATCGTTAATCACAGGGCTTTGTTCTGCCATGATTACCCCTCCACCGCAATAAGAGTTTTATTTAAGAGAGAATATGGATTTGTCATCCTTCTGGCGGCAAAATGAAACTGACAATATTTTATGTTCTGACATTTAATTTGTAAAAGCGGACGCAGGCTGCATTTGCATTCGGTGACGCCCTTCCCCGGCCTTAGCCCACGGGGCCCGGCCGGGCTCAGCCCGAAGGGATGACGTGGGCAGTCCCTCCTGTGGGCCCACCACCTGCAGAGGGGTCCGTGGTGAAGCGGTGCAGAGAGGACTGGGCGGCAGTCGAAGGCGGAGACCTCGGCGACCCAGTCCGCACACACAACATCTGGCTCTTGGGACGTGGAACGTCACCTCACTGGGGGGGAAGGAGCCCGAGCTCGTGGGGGAGGTTGAGCGATACCGACTAGAGATAGTCGGCCTCACCTCCACACACAGCTTGGGCTCTGGAACCCAACTCCTTGAGAGGGGTTGGACGCTCCACTTTTCTGGAGTTTCCCGCGGGGAGAGGCGGCGAGCTGGGGTGGCCATTCTCATTGCCCCCCATCTCAGCCGCCACGTGTTGGAGTTCTCCCCGGTGAATGAGAGGGTCGCGTCCCTCCGCCTCCGGGTGGGGGACAAGTCTCTCATTGTTGTGACGGCCTACGGGCCTAACAGCAGTGCAGAGTACCCGGCCTTCTTGGAGTCCTTGGGAGGGGTACTGGACGGTGCACCGCCCGGGGACTCCGTTATTCTCCTGGGGGACTTCAACGCCCATGTGGGAAACGCCAGTGACACTTGGAGAGGGGTGATCGGGAAGAGCGGCCCCCCTGATCTGAACCCGAGCGGTGCTCAGTTGTTGGACTTCTGTGCCAGTCACGGTTTGTCCATCACGAACACCATGTTCGAGCACAAGGGTGTCCACCAGTGCACGTGGCACCAGGACACCCTAGGCCGGAGGTCGATGATCGACTTTGTTGTCGTATCATCTGACCTTCGACCGCGTGTCTCGGACACTCGGGTAAAGAGAGGGGCGGAGCTGTCAACCGATCATCACCTGGTCGTGAGTTGGATCCGCTGGCAGGGGAAGAAGCCGGTCAGACCTGGCAGACCCAAGCGTATAGTGAGGGTCTGCTGGGAACGTCTCGCTGAGCCCCCTGTCAGACGGACTTTCAACTCACACCTCCGGGAGAGCTTCTCCCAGGTCCCGGCGGAGGAGGGGGACATGGAGTCCGAGTGGACCATGTTCTCTGCCTCAATCGCCGATGCGGCGGCTCGTAGCTGTGGTCGCAAGGTCTCTGATGCTGGTCCCGGCGGCAACCCCCGAACCCGGTGGTGGACACCGGCAGTAAGGGATGCTGTCAGGCTGAAGAAGGAGTCCTATCGAGCCATGATGGTTCGGGGGACTCCTGAGGCAGCTGTCCAGTACCGGCAGGCCAAGCGTGCCGCGGCCCGGGCTGTTGCAGAGGCAAAAACATGGGACTGGGAGGAGTTCGGAGAGTCCATGGAGCATGACTATCGGTCGGCCTCGAAGAGATTCTGGCAAACCATCCGGCGCCTCAGGAGGGGGAAGCAGTTCTTTGCTAACACCATGTACGGTGCGGGTGGAGAGCTGCTGACCTCGACTGGGGATATTGTCGGGCGGTGGAAGGAATACTTTGAGGTTCTCCTCAATCCCCCCGTCACGTCCTCTGTTACAGAGGCAGAGGCTGAGGATGTTGGGGCGGGTACATCCATCTCCCTGGCTGAGGTCACCAAGGTGGTTGGTAGCCTCCATGGTGGCAGGGCTCCGGGTGTGGATGAGATCCGCCCTGATTATCTAAAGTCTCTGGATGTTGTAGGACTGTCTTGGCTGACACGTCTCTGCAACATCGCGTGGCGATCGGGGGCAGTGCCAATGGAGTGGCAGACCGGGGTGGTGGTCCCTCTCTACAAGAAGGGGGACCGGAGGGTGTGTTCCAATTATCGTGGGATCACACTCCTCAGCCTCCCCGGTAAGGTCTACTCCAAGGTACTGGAGAGGAGGTTACGGCCGATGGTCAAATCTCGGATCCAGGAGGAGCAGTGTGGTTTTCGTCCCGGTCGCGGAACACTGGACCAGCTCTATACTCTCAATCGGATACTCGAGGGTTCATGGGAGTTCGCCCAACCTGTCCACATGTGCTTTGTGGACTTGGAGAAGGCGTTCGACCGTGTTCCCCGGGGTGTCCTTTGGGGGGTTCTCCGGGAGTACGGGGTCGGAGGTCCTCTGCTGAGGGCCATCCGATCCCTGTATGACCGGAGCCAGAGCTGTGTTCGCATTGCCGGCAGTAAGTCAGACCTGTTCCCGGTGAATGTTGGCCTCCGACAGGGCTGCCCTTTGTCACCGGTTCTGTTCACTGTATTTATGGACAGAATATCTAGGCGCAGCCAGGGGTCGGAGGGGGTCCGGTTCGGAGACCACAGGATTTCATCTCTGCTGTTTGCGGACGATGTTGTCCTGTTGGCTCCAACGAACCAGGACCTGCAGCATGCACTGGGGCGGTTTGCAGCCGAGTGTGAAGCGGCTGGGATGAGAATCAGCACCTCCAAATCCGAGGCCATGGTGCTCGACCGGAAAAAGGTGCCTTGCCCTTTGCAGGTGGGTGGAGAGGTCCTTCCTCAAGTGGAGGAGTTCAAGTATCTCGGGTTCTTGTTCACGAGTGAGGGAAGAATGGAGCGTGAGATTGACAGGCGGATCGGTGCAGCGTGCGCAGTTATGCGGTCGCTGTATCGGACCGTTGTGGTGAAGAGGGAGCTGAGCCGAAAGGCAAAGCTCTCGATTTACCGGTCAATCTTCGTTCCCTCCCTCACCTATGGTCATGAGCTTTGGGTAATGACCGAAAGAACGAGATCGCGGATACAAGCGGTCGAAATGAGCTTCCTCCGCAGAGTGGCTGGGCGCTCCCTTAGAGATAGGGTGAGGAGCTCAGTCACACGGGAGGAGCTCGGAGTAGAGCCGCTGCTTCTCCACGTCGAGAGGAACCAGTTGAGGTGGCTCGGGCATCTGTTCCGGATGCCTCCTGGACGCCTCCCTGGGGAGGTGTTCCGGGCACGCCCCACCGGGAGGAGGCCCCGCGGAAGACCCAGGACACGCTGGAGGGACTATGTCTCTCAGCTGGCCTGGGAACGCCTTGGGGTCCCCCCGGACGAGCTGGAGGAAGTGTGTGTGGATAGGGAAGTCTGGGCATCTCTGCTTAGACTACTGCCCCCGCGACCCGGCAACGGATAAAGCGGAAGAAAATGGATGGATGGATGGATGGTTTTATGATGAATTGAATACAAGATATGATATAATCTTTTGTCATCTGTAATAAATTATTTGATGTATTTTGAACATTTTCCTTTTCAATATGATGTTAAACGGTAAAACTATTTAATAAAGGAAATAATACTTGCATAATTGTGGACGCTTTGGACTTCAGATATGCAGGTATGCTCTTACTGTAAGCGTTTGTGACTGATCCGAATTTTTATATTTATTTCCTTCTTTAACTTTGAACTTTGGAAACATCAGAGATGGTTGGTGCAATGGCGCCTTGGACGCAGGAGATAAAGTTAATAATGTATGAACGTCCTGTAAGTTTAAAACAACTTCTAGTGGTTTTTGAGTAGTGCTGGGACTCATAGTTACTAAAGCAAACTATTTACTTTACAGAAGTCATGGGTTGGAGCCAAATGAGCGTCTGCTTGGACCAGTCAGTTCTGTTTATTTTGTATCCTGTTTGTTTTATGTTGAAATATGTTGAAATAAGTATGTTTATGTTTGATTAATGCAACAATGACATTGCAGTAACCCCACTGTGGGATGAATAAAGGACTATCTTATCTTATCAAATGATTACAAAAACCAAAACTCAAGTTGCATGTATATTAAAATGCAATTACCAGGGAAGACCTGGAGGGACTATGTCTCTCAGCTGGCCTGGGAACGCCTTGGGGTCCCCCCAGATGAGCTGGAGGAAGTGTGTGTGAATAGGAAAGTTTGGCCGTCTCTTCTTGGACTGCTGCTCCCACGACCTGGCAATGGATGAAGCGGAAGAAAATGGATATATGAATAACCATTTGTTTTGTGTCAAAGTCCTTTGACAAAAAAACTAAATATACACGGCTAGGCTCTTGAGACAAATAAGAGCTTTCTGCTCCTGAAACAGTTTAGAGTAACTATTTGAAAAACAAAACTGAAACCAATGTAATTCAGACTCTATCAGGGTAACAGGAGTTGTGATCTAAACTAAAAGTAACTCAAAGTGGAATAAATACATACAGTAGTGCTGTACCAATTCATAACATGTTCAATCCAGCATCTACTACATTACAACTTTAGAGAAACCGACCCAACACTGATAACGAGAGGAGGGGAAAAAGTCAATTTTGCACATTAAGTGGTCTTAAAGAATGTGTTCAGATGTTGTAAAGATATGTTTACTGATACATACTTCTACCAACAGTTCCAGTTCTCAGAGAGATAAGAACGTAAAAGGCCATTTCCGCTTCCTGTTTGTTGGTGCCGGCAGAAACAGAGGAATGTAGCCAACACTGCCCACCGGCCCTCGGGCATACACAACACACGCAGACAACGCCCATGTTACGCCCCACACAACTCCACAGAGGCAAGTCCACTTAAAACAAAGACAAGACTATAGAGGACTTTGAACGACTTTGACCCGGACTTACTTCAGCCGTCTCAGAGCTGCGGATCGGTTCCTGTGAGCTCCACCTTTCCCTCTCCGCCTTGACCTTCCCGTCTGCTGGGATAGAGAGGAGACAGCGAGCCCAGTGGAACCTTGGGCTGAGTTATGCAGGAGTGAGCTTTGAATAATTGTCCCGCAATATGAGTGTCTCTGATTAATTGCCTGAGATAAGAACTGCCTCCATCCCCTCCCCACTCTCTTCTCCCCCACGCTCCCAGCCCCAGCCCGCTCTGCGTTCACCGCCGCCGCCGCAGCCTGCAGAGCGCCGTAATCAGCCTCGACACACCCACAGAGGAGCTGTTTAACTGACCCTGTCATCTCCACCATGGCTGTCCTAATTACTCAACAATAACAAAGGGCCTCATTTAGCATGCAATCACCACTTCTATGAATAACTTAACCAATAGGGGAAATCATGTACACGCACATTCATTCAGGGCCTAAAGACAAAACCTGCAGGTGACGGAATGTGGCGCGGACATGCTAGCATACCTGTAGCTTGACTTTTTATTTGTTCAAAACACGATAACATTTTGAGAGATTCTGTGAGTACGTACTCCGCTTGATATTAGTAGTGAATTTAAGAAGTGTTATGAAGATTTTCTCATTTTATTTTGCCTTATACTGTATGCACCCGAGAACTAAACATGGGGCGGCTGCATTTCGGATTCACGCTGCTAGAATCTGGAACAGTCTTCCTGAAAGTGTGAGACAGGCCTTTCTCTGACAAAGTTCAAATCCAGGTTAAAAACAGTTCTGTTTAGCTGTGCATACAACTGGGGGATTTTATTCACTCTTTCTAATGCACTGTGATCATTTATGATTTTAATGTCTTGTTTTGTTCAGCATTTGCGTTGCTATCTTGTGTATGAATAGTGCTATACATATAAACTTCCCCAGCCCTATATCTATTTTAACTTTTATAACTTGTTTGCATTGAGATTTGTGACTTCCTTACAATGGCGTTAAAAATCGTTCTGAACCGAAGTTGAATGATAGAAAATATGGTCAGATGGTACCACAATTGTATTTATTTTGTACTTTTTATTTTTTACACATGAAAAGAGTCATGTCAGAGTTAAGATATTAATTGAAAAAAGCAATACCTTAAAGATTTTTTGTGTGACTTTATCTTGATGTTGGTTGTATCCAGGGGTTAGGTCAAACTATCTTCTTGTCTGATTCTTGCTTTGACTCTTGACTGAAAAGATAAATAAGATTATCTGCTTAAAATGCTTCTATCTATGAAATAAATGTTATTGTTTTACATTTATAGATAACAATCAAAACTCCCAACTTCAATTAGTTTTAAAGCTACATGATTGAATTATTTTTTAATGATACAATCCTGAACATTTGCTTCCTCCACTAACAATAAAAATATACACTAATACAAACAAATTTCTATGCAAAACAGCTTTCTCACAAAACTCTAGTTTCTGAATTGTAATGTCAAAGCGGGAACTTTTTTTTTATAAAACTCCAGCTGAGAATGTTACTTCTAGCCCTGATCTGATTAAATGTTTTATACATTTTTTTCATTCCTATTTTTTTCACTGTCAAAACCGATTTCCTTCCCGGAGCTCACCTTGTTTATTGTGCACCTGCATGTTTTTCAAAGCGCAGAAGTCATCTCCTCTATAAAGTATCAACTGCGGTGTGCAGTGATAGCACCTGCTCTGTCAAACGCCATATTTACATTTCAAACACACTGCTGCCTGTTGTTGCCTCCTGCGTGTACACAGACAGAAGCGAAGGGCATTTTTCCACCATACAAAAATAAGGGAGGGAAATGGCAAAACGGGAAATGGAAAACAAGAAAGTCTCATAATGCCGTTTACTATTTACAGATAAACGCTGCGGGCCTTTGGAGAGTGACAATACAGGCAAAAACCTGAAGCTCACACGGCGACTGAAGGCAGCACACTACAAAGTTGGACTGGATTTTTCAGAGGCCACGGGGAAAAAGAAAGAGAACAGAGCCGTGCAGGAGGAAGGAGGGGAGAAGGACCCAGCGTGCACTTGACACTCGGCTAATGGTAAATCCTTTGCTTTATACTGTAATTTACTGCTGAGCCTTCGGGCCAAACTGCCTTTGAAGTGCTTGGAAATGTCAAATCAATTATTACTTAAATAAAAAAGAATTCAATTTACTCGTCTCATGTTAATCTGTAACATTTTATCACAGCAGAAAGGCGAGGCAATTTGAGGCGATTTGAGCCCAGACCGGTTTTTATTCACCATTCACAGATATGCTGATTGTAATATAAATTTGTTGATGATTGCGTCTTTTCTCCACCTTATCCCTTTTTTGTGTCATCATGATTGCAAAGCAGGAAGAATCACTTTGGCGCGGTAATAGTCTTCATCAGTTGTCGTTCGGTAATGACGTTGTACACCTGAATGTGTGTGTGGTGGAGTGAGGAAGAGGAGCATGGAACAAAACGCCGTCTTCGCGATTCATTACATCCTAATGTGTCGGTGTGAATGAGGCCTCTCGCGACGCCGGGCCCTGTCTAAACGCTCTGAAATAGCAGAGAACCAGCCCCACACTCAGCTTTGTTCGTTTTGTTCAAGCACAGGTAAAGCAGATGAGGCGTGAAGTTTGCGCCCGGTCGATGTGAAGTCTGTATTAGTGCTCAGTGGGTACGGGCATTATCGTAATCTACAATAGACAATTTTAGCATCTATATTAGCCTAATGTATTTTCATAACCTTGAATGGTAAACTATATAGTAGAGAATAGATGGGAACTATTGAGATCCACTGACAACCCAATTATTATGACTTGATCTAACACTGTTACAACTCTTGTTCCAATCCACTTTATCCAATCCGCTTTATTTATCTAGCATTTTATAAAACATGTTTCCAAAATGCTGCCCAGATAAAAGAAACACATTAAAATACACACCTCTGCCAGCTATTTAAACTACTGTATGACTATTAAAACGAATGAGTAAGTAAGTAATTGCACAAAAACATATACGAGACTGGAGACCGGTGTTTTAAAACGACTCAGTTACAAAAAATAGAAATATTTAAGTCAATTAAAATGTAAGTATTAATTTCAAAAGTGTAGAGAACACAAATACTTAAAGCTATTTTAAGGCAGTTTCCAGAATGCGTGGTTTCGTTTGGACGAAGGAGAAGAATTATTGTACCCGCCGCCATTGTTGTTTACGTTTGTGATCGGCTACTGCGCATGTCCAAATGTACGTGCGGGGAAGTGGTGAGGTCATAGCAGCAGAGAATTCACAACTTTTTTCTTCTCACAGCTGTATAACAGGCCACGCAGCGTATCTGTTCCACTCTGAAGGCTGGTTCTCAACGCTTGCATTTTCACCCCCCTGAAACACCGTCTCCATGTAAACGAAAGGCCAAACTGATTCCCAACTCTAAAGCTTTATTGTCGCAGCGTCCACATGTAAACGTCACATAAAACAATACCTCAAACTATATCACAACTATGTTTCAAGATCAAAAGAACCCACGGTAGAGCAGCACAGAGGTCTGAGCACTACCAACAGCTGTGCGATGAGCAGGCCGCCAGTGCAACAGGGTCTTGATGTAAGTCTGTTTTTAGGCGAGGCCAGGTAAGTTTATTTGTATTGCACAATTCATACACAGGGCAACGCAATGTGCTGAACAAAAAAAGGCGTCAAAATCATAAATAATGACAGTTAAAATGAGTAAAGATTAAAACTCACATCTTCAGGAAGGCTGTTCCAGATTTTAGCGTGAATCTGAAATGCAGCCTCCTCATTTTTAGAAGGTGGACTAAAAATATAGAATTATACTCACTTAGATGTAGTCATTAAAATGCATTTATTTTTAGTATTTACCAAAATGACAATCATCTCATTGATTATCACAGATCAGATTGTCAGATTGAATAGTTCATTGGTGAAAACAGATAACATTAGAAAGGTATTTGAAAGGCTTAATATCTATATTTTATATATATATATAGCTGTATATCTTTTGTATTCATTTATATCTATGTTTTCACGTCTTGTCCTAATTTGTGACTTCCTGTTACAATGCCAATAAAAGATAATTCTGACTCTGATTCTGCTTCAAAAGTGGTTTATTTTTTTAAAGCCTGATCTACTTTAATGCCATACAAAGAAAGTTTCTCTCTGTCCTGAGCAAAATCTTGTGTACTGCCAAGATCAAAGATAACCCTTTTTGTAAATTAACTTCCCATATGATCTTGTATTTTGGATATATGGAGGAAATTCAGACAGTGTCTTAATTTCAGTGATGCTATTGCTAATTTGTTCCTGCTGCAGCATGTATTAAAGTAATCTAGATACAGAAACATGATTGGTGACCTCACTTCACGCCTGTTTTTAGTCAATGGAGCAAAGTACATGTCTCAATGTGAGTGTGCGTCTCCAGATCCCGATGTTATTATTGGGCATTAATGATTCAGTCATGAGTCAGCTGTGCAGACGCCAGTGTGGAGGAGGTGGTGTCGTGCCGAGGAGGAAAAGGGGCAGACAGACCCTCATGTCGTTCACAGACTCTTCGTCTCTTTTGTGTGGCACCGTGTGGAATAACATACCTTTTATTCCCTCCGCCCTCCCAGTCTTTCTTTCTGTAAAGCGATCAGGGCCCCTGATAGTGATGGCGATTACAAAACCACATACAGCCTCCCCACCAAAACAAAGTGTTTTTCAGCTCCTGTTTTTTCAGGACCTGGCGCCACCCGTAGTGCAGTAAACAATAAACATATGGGGCATTGAAGGGCCACGCAGCCTGGACCAGCAGCATCACACTTTTTACTCAGGACTCAGAAACCATCGGAAAATCCACAGAGAAAGTAACAAACTATAACTTTCACAAATTATTTAAACGAAGAAACATGTGCATTAATTTAGAACTGAATACATTATAGATTTAATCCCATGCCTTGTCATACTGTATGTACTGTACTGTATAAGACAGGGCTCTCCCACCTTTTTCAATCGGAGAGCTACTCCTTTTTGCAGTCGTAATAAAAAATCTATCTATTCAATAATTACGACAAAACAATAATACTGTAAAACCCTAAATCTATACTTATAATACATATGAAATTGTATTAATTCAAGATCACTTGTTAAAATCTAAATTCTTTGGGGAGCTACCTGACAGGGGCTGGCGAGCTACCGGTAGCTCCCACGCGACAGGTTGGAGACCCCTGGTGGAGGGGTAAAGTGGATGTAGACGACTAATCTCATATGGCAGCAACAACAAAAAGCACAAGTACTGATGTGATATAATTTAGAATAGAAGAGAAAAACCTAATTGTCTATCATAAGTAGACGGTAGGGATTTAT